AATTTCTCTTTTTTTGGTCTTCTTTTTTTTTATAACTCTGGTCACCTCCGTCCGTGCCCAAGACAGGCACATTGACCACGAGTTTCCGTCGGTTGTTATCCGGCCCTGCAGCTTCACCTTACGCTGTGCTCAACATAATCGAGGTCTTGTTCGTCCGCTGCCGCATGACCATGGCTTTAGTGTTGGACGACATGATTCCGCCGCCCTTTCCCTTCATCCGATAGACTCGCTTCAGGGTGTCCCATCCCCCCCTTGTGCTCGTCCATGTCGGCGGAATCGCCCTGCCATGACCATCACGGCTTAGCTTCTACGGTCCATACCGGGGATCGACGGGGAATACGAGCATAGGTGGATTATCCGTAGCGAGCAGGAATCTTCGCCGCAACCAGAAATGGTCTCCTTTTTCTTTCATTGTTTTTTCTTCTATTCCTTTTCCTTTCCCCCTTCTCGCTTCTCGCTTCTCGCTTCAGGCCACACCAGCCACCACGTTAGCTCTCACATGCATATCGGGCTTTTCTTCATCGGCGAATCGGCATGGTAGTTCGAAAGTGACTGCCCCGAGACCCCTTTCCCTCTCCCAATAGCGGCTTTTTCGGGTTGCCCCAGCCTTTGCCCGTGACCGTTACCAGGCCCTCGCCCGTTTGTTCCTCTTCCTCCCCGGGGCATGCAACGTGTCGACGGATTTAGCAACTTCGGCAACTTCGCGCTTCTCGGCATTGAACACATCGTCGCTTTCTATTTACGATTTGATCATCTGATCATCGCCGAATAAAGCAACACTTGGGGGACCTGGTAAACGCGATCCTTGAGCCGCTGGTATATTATCCCATGTCGGGGGACCCGATTTCTGAAAGTGTGTCTCGCGAACGGCCTCCCATTCTCTGTCTGGGCTGCCATCATATATATCGTCGGCCTTCCTCGTCCATGATTGTGCTCCCCTTGTTATCGAGAATCTCCTAACGTTTTTGTTCGACAGCGACCGTTTATAATGTCGCGCCTACAGTTAGTCCGTCTCATTTTCTTGCTTCTGGCGGCCGTCGTTCGAGCCGATACGGTCACCTATGACTGGCAGGCGGACTGGATCAGTGCTACTCCTGATGGCGTCACGAGGCCAGTTATCGGCATCAACGGGGAGTGGCCATGTCCGAGTATCGAGGCCTCGGTAGGTGACGAGGTCGTCGTGAGACTCACCAACAACCTCGGAAACCAGACCACGGGTCTCCACTTTCACGGCATGAGACAGATCCAGACCAACTTCATGGATGGGGCGAGTGTGGTCACCCAGTGTCCCCTTGGGCCTGGGGATACCATCACCTACAGATTCACGGTATGTCTTACTACCCAGAAAGCGCAGATACGCCGTCGAAATACTTACCGAGTTGCCGCCGTAGGTCGACGTACCTGGGACGTATTGGTATCATTCCCATAATATGGGCCAATACGTCGACGGCCTTCGAGGCGCCCTCCTGGTCTACGACCCCGACGACCCCTATAGTGAAGACTACGACGAAGAGGAGGTGGTGACTCTGTCAGACTGGTAAGTTTCTCGTTGGGAGTATTCCTTCGCCATTAGATTGTCTCTTGCTCCTCTTGCTCATGTGTTCGTATCGCTCTAGGTACCACGAGCAGACCATTTATCTGTCGCGGTTCTTGCTCAGCCCACAGAACGAACCCCCTGCGCCTCCGGGCATCGACTCGATCCTGGTCAACGATGTCCGCCGAAACCCTCACTTTCATGTTGATAAAAACAAGACGTACAGGCTCCGCTTCATCAACCTGTCAGCTGCCGCGTCCTTTATGCTCAACTTTGAAGAGGTCGACGCCCAGGTCATCGCCATCGACGGGTATAATGTCAGGAGGGCCAGAGCGTCCATGGTCCGGATTGCTCCAGCACAGCGCTACGACATTCTAGTCTGCTTCACGGACACCTATTCCGACAACATCCCCTTCCTCATCGCTCTGGATGGGAATCCTGACTATACTAACCCCGAACTCAGACCAAGATGGCCCCTGAACCTCACTGGTCAGTTCATCTCGGACCCGGATGCGCCTCTCCGCCGGAACCGGGATGTTACTGTGTGGAGACCTATGGATGATTCTCGCCTGGAGCCGTTTGGGGATTACCGTCCGTTGTCTCATCCTAACAGACTCATCCAGCTCGAGGCTGAGTTTTGCCAGGATCAATACAACATTCCTAGGTGTGTCATCCCGTTCGTCCTTTAACAAGCGTCGCTTACACTCACCAGGGCATGCTTCAACCATATACCATACGTGCTGCAGAAGGTACCCACGCTGTACACTGCCGCCACCGTGGGGGAACACAACACCAATCCCGTCGTCTACGGCGCCGTGAATCCATTCATCCTCTCGCAAGGAGACATCGTCGATATTGTGGTCAACAACCATGACGACCGCAATCACCCCTTCCACCTCCACGGCCACCATTTCGAGGTGCTCGACCGGCCCTGTGCAAGATCGGGAGTGTGGCCCGGGCCAAATGCCACCCATATCAACGAGTACCCACCCCTGCGCGATACGGTGGACGTCATGGCCCACTCGTACGTCGTGATCCGCTTCCTGGCGGACAATCCGGGCGTGCACCTCTTCCACTGCCACATCGAATGGCATGTCGAGATGGGCCTCACGGCGACACTTATCCTGGGGCCGGAGAAGCTCCGTGGGTTAGATATCCCTCAGGATCATCTCGATAGTTGCAGGAGGATAGGCATGCCGACGGCTGGGAACGCCGGGGGTGATCTGGAGAATCCGCTGCATACGTGGAATATGAACGACAAGCCGCCGCGATTCCACGCAGGGTGAGTGTTTTTCATCTTCTTTTTATCTTCTTTTCTTTTTTCCCTTGTCTTCTTGGGGCTCTCACGCGCCTGTCTGTTCTGCTGCCTTGCATGCCTTGGCTGACATTTATGCCTGGCAATAGTGCTGAGTGGCCTCCGCCTTTCGAAGACGGCCCCATGCGCCGGATCCGATCTCGAATCATGCCACGGGCGTAACGACTACACATACACATGAATTTATGATGGATGGCGAAGTTGGTCTGGAGGTGGATCTATTTTCTCCTTTTTTTTTCTTTTTTCTGGATGATGATTTACGTCTATATACTGATTGAAGTTTGATTTTCCTGTTAAATTTCTTCCCCCGTACAGTACATATGGAAGCTGGAAGGAAAGCGACGATGTCTTTTGCATCTCCTCTCTCTCTTTATTTCTCTTTTCCCCCTTGGATATAGGGTTCCTTAGACGCCTGCAACTCGGCCTAATGCGAACACGCATGCCTAGAGTTGAAGTTGTTGGATGGAATTACACAGCTTGGAGAGTGACGATATATGGTTTACCTTTGCACATAGATACCATGAGCGAGTACGGCAGATATATGGAGCACAGGCATTCTGCTTGACACCGCAGGAACAGAAACCCTAGGATTGTGATACCGTCTGCGGAAGATTTCGCGTGGTCAGACGCGATGCTGTAGACGCCACATAGTAACACACAGAGCCACATGGTCGGTGAGTGGTTCCCGGGTTCTTCGGTCAGGTGAGAGAGATCCGTTAGCGTTTCAAATACGACGTCGTATTCCTCATGTTACAGGTCAGTATGGGTTGGACAGCATTGGAAGCCGTGGAACTGGTAGGGGAGGACATGAGGTCGAGGCTCGGAGGGGTTGGTACGGCTAAGGGGAAATTGCTTAGTAGAATATACTTCAAAACAAGCGATAATCGGGGGTGAAAATGGGGCGATTCTTGTAAGCGTCAATACCCACTGCTCGGTATAGTCCGTGATGGCCTGTGTGTCGGAGATGGAGAAGCGTCAACTCCGGAATTGAATGGCTATGTACCTACGTACCGTACCTAGCAGAGCTCCACCTCAGTTTCTACTTCGTACTTTCGTACTCCATTCATATCATTCATACTTTCGCACATTCGAAGCCATATGTGGAATCTTTTTCGACTACGATTGATCCCGACTAAGCATCACAGGCGCCCAGACGAATGTTCATATCGTTACTCCGAAACATGCCTAAGTAAGTTATTCCCATGCACCATGTCAATTGAGTGGCTGACCGTCTGTTCGTTCCAACTGCCCAGGAGCCCCCCGTCATAGCGTACACCCACATCATGAGGGCGCATCTGGCCCGCCATGTCTCCCGGCGCGCCCTCGTCTCCAGGCCCCGAATGCCCTCCTGCGCCGTCTTCTCATCCCCTTCCCGTCGCCAAATACCAGTGATACCGTCGTCTTGGAGAAATATTATCTGTCGAAGAACATTCTTCGGCATCTTCCAGAAAGCCCCGAGGCAGATTAAGAAGCCCGAGTACGAACCGGGATGGACCGTGGTGCTGACCTGGAGGAATCGCACGCTTGATAACCTCCGGCCTCCGCCTCGGAAAGAACTCGTCGAGGCGTTTCGGGAACTGTTCTCGTACAAACAACGATTCGGCGTGGCTGTCAACAGCACGCAGGCCCGCCACAGTCGAAACCTCCTACGATACCTCCTGGAGAACCCGCACGACGAGCCAGACGAGGGACTGACGCTCCTGGATCTTACTACGGCTCGTGACGCGCTGTTGAAGCCGCCCAAGGAGGACCGCGCTGAGCACCTCGAGTTCTCCAAGGCTCTTTATGAAGCGATTAAACGGGAGAGGGAGCTGTTGGGCGAAGACGAGTCTGCCTCTACGTTCCATGCCGGTGGGCAGGGCGATGACGAAGGCGCCGCCGCATACGATTTGAAGGCCTATCTGTGGGCTTTGACAGAATACGGTGCCTCCACAGAGGCGCGGACCGAACTACGGAAGCACTGGGCTCAGCTGAAGGCTGCGGGACTGCCCCTCCAGTCTTCAAAAGCTCTGTGGCTCATCGTGCTTCGAGGATTCGCGCACGAGGGCCGGGAGGAGGAGCTGCTGGAAACTGCAAGTGAGGCCGAGAAGGAAGGCGTCGACTACACCCCCGGATTCCACCATACCATGACGGAGTTCTTTGCCAAGCAGGATCGTTCCAAGGAGACAAGGAAGTGGTTCACCAAGCCCATTACGGGGAACAAGCTCCCCAGATCCGATACCTACAAGGAGCTGCTTCTGTTCTCCTCCCGCGGGAAAAACCGGGAGTGGGTCAACCCCGTTTTCCAACAGCTTGTCGACGCGAACCCCAGCAAGCCGTACTGGGACATCGTCTACCAGTGGGCGGTGCTGTCGATGGGCAAAGGTCTGGACGATCTGAAGGGCATGTTCCAAGTCGTCGCCAAGCACAATCCGGACGACCCCTCCGTGCTGCCCGACGTCGATACCATCAACGGTCTGATAGAGGTGGCCGTGAACAAGAACGACCCGTATCTTGCCGACAGGTTACTATCATTTGCATCGGAGCTGGGTATCCAGCCCAATGCCATGACATTCATTCTGCAAATGGACTCGCGCATCAAGGCCAAGGATCTCTCCGCCGCCAGGGAATCCTACAGGAGCCTATCGCAGTCGAGCCTCCAGGGAGAGGAGGATCTACCGGTGATCAATAGGTACCTCCAAGCGCTGTGCGACATGCCGCAACCGGACCTCAAAGCGATCCGCGAGATCTTGGACGTCCTCGAGCAGCGCATCGTCACCCTGGATCCGGACACGGTCGTCGCTCTTTGCACCGTGTACCTCAAATACGACCAGCAATTCGACATCATCGATACCCTGTCCCTCAACATCTTCCAACACAGCACCGACCAGCGCAAGTCCGTCCGCGACGCCTTCATCGCATACTGCCTGGACCGCAAGAACAGCACGGCCCGGGTATGGGACGCGTACTCGATCCTGCGGCAGTTCTTCCTGGAGACGGGCGTCGAGGACCGCACCGAGCTGATGCAGGCGTTCTTCGAGCGGAAGCGGCCCGACATGGCCATCCACGTCTTCGGGCACATGCGGCAGCACGTCAACCGGAGCTTCCACCCCACGATCGACACGTACATCCAGTGCTTCGAAGGGCTGGGCAACTGCGCCGACCCGGACGCGAAGGAGCACCTGGCGCTCGTGCACAACATGCTGAAGATGGACCTCGCCATCCAGCCCAACACGAGGCTGTACAACGCCCTCATGCTGGCGTACGCGGCGTGCGGGCGCCCGGCGCGGGCCATGGACTTTTGGCACGACATTGTCCGGTCGGCGGAGGGGCCGTCGTACAGCAGCCTCGAGATTGTCTTCGCTGTGTGCGAGAAGCTGCCGTACGGCGACCAGACGGCGAGGGAGATTTGGAAGAAGCTGGAGACGCTCGAGGTCGATGTGCCCCCGTCTGTGTTTGCGGCGTATGTTGGTGGTCTTGCGGGTAATGGTAATGTTGCTGTCGTGCAAGAGGCCATCAAGGGGATGCCGCAGACTGTCGGTTACGGGCCGGACGTGATGACGTGGGTTTTTTTTTTTTTTTTCCTTTCCTTTCATTTGTTTTAATCTATTTTAAACAGCTGGAGAAGACTGTGCTAACACTGAATCAGTTTGGGCATTGCTCACAACGCCCTGCCGGGTCAGACTTTGCAACGCAAATTCGCGGACTGGGCGGCCGAGACGTATCCGAAACTCTGGAGCGAGGTAAAGAGGAAGCGATATCACCGGACTTCCAACGGCTTGATAAAGTACAAGCTACAGCGGACATTGAGGGCATGATCTGTATAACATGATAAGAAAGCAGAAGCAAGGTCATTTTATGTGTATATATGGTACATGATCTGGTAGACGGTGGTCCTGACATGTTGTACACTATCACAAGCACAAAAATATAAAAGGCGAGGTTGTCTCCCTCGCCGGCGAAACCTTCAACCCATACTCCCGTTTCCCTCCACCGTCGTTTACCTCGTCCACTTCTTGAGAAGCTCGGGGTGGTAATGCACACTCGGGTGGATGCCCATGCCCATCGCCCTCCGGATCGCCTTGGCCATCCTCCTCTGGTTTCGTGGTCGTAGGCCTGTGTACCTAGTGCTGTTGATCTGACCGGTTGACGTGACATATTCGGAGATCATGGCGAAGTTCTGTGGCAAGGGGGGGGGGGGTCCAGTTAGCTTAATGGAATCAACAAAACAAAGAAAACAAAAGGGGGGAAGAAAAAAGAAGAAGAAGAAAAAAGAAGGCAGGGACGCAGAAAAGCCTACCCGATACATATCCAACGGATTCACGTTCAAAAGATCCACAACGTCGACGTCGGACGGGCCCCGCCGCTTCCACTTGGCCAGCTGGTGCGGGTTCAGGTCGTGCGGGGCGTACACGTCGCCGGTCTGCCAGCGGCGCGGCATCTGGCGCATGTAGTCGTCGCTGACCTTGCGTTCCTGGATGAGCTGCAGGTCGGCGCGGCGCTTGGCTTGCTGGGCTTCGGACTGGGCGCGGGCCTTCTCGCGGACGAGGTTCTGCACGCGCTCGGCGGATTGCGCGGCTGGCTGCCTGTCGAGGGTCAGGATGTTGGAGGCTGGGTTGTATTCTAGTTAGAGAGGATGGGAGGGTTAGCTGGGTTCCTCTTTCCCGACTTTCCGTGTCGTTTGTTCTGCTCTTCAAAGACGGGAGGAGAGGAGGCAAGATAGGGGAAGCTTGGGGAAGCTTGAGGACCTCGTCTCCCCGGGAGGGTGAGAGAGCGAAGACTGAACGTACGGGAGAGGGCTGGTGTTGTCGAGAGTGGTCTGGCGAGGCGGCGAAGGAAACTGGAGGGCGCGGAGCCGCTCTGAATGAAGGGTAACCGGGGAGGCATCGTGAAGGTCGTGTGGTGAATCCGTTCCAATCCGTGTATAATCTGTTGTCGACGGAGTTGATGTTCTCGTGGATTACCGAGTAGATGGTTCTGGGGAGATTTTTTGGTACCTGCCAGTGAGAGTTCGAGGCATGACTAATACGGCCATTGCGCAGTACCGTACCGTACCATTGCCAAATCGGAACGGAACGTTTCTGCTATCGCTGAACTACCGGTTCTTATCTCTTATCGATAGGCGCATTCTACTTTTTTTGGCCCATGACCACTTCAACCTCAAACCACCAGCTTGTGATGTCTGGTGTTGGGTAGATCAACTGCTCTTCAACCCGGCGTTTTCTTCCCAGTCGCCCATCATGGTCCGGAAACTGAACTGGTCCGAGTCGAAGCTGCTGAAAAAGGCAGACTTCATCACCTACAAATCCGATAATGATCATCGCGATGCCGCTGTCAGGTAAATGGACCCTGGACCCAGGCCTTGTTGGTCTCCTCTCCAGTGCTAACAATACAATAAGGCGGAGATATATGATTCAGAAGCCCCAGGACTACCACAAGTATAACAGGATATGTGGCGTACGTTTTTTCCCTTTTTTTCCCCTTTTCTCCTTTTTTCTTCTTCTTTTTTTTCCCCTCTCCCCTCTGCGGCGATTCGAAATGTGCCTCTCCAAGGGGATTCCATCCGCTGACGAACACCCAAACACAGTCCATTCGCCAGCTAGCGCATCGATTGTCTCTCCTCTCCCCCGAAAGCGCCGTCCGCCAGAAACATGAGAAGCTTCTCCTCGACAAGCTCTACGACATGGGCATATTGTCTACCACTAGCAAGCTCTCTGCCGTTGAGCACGGAGCTACCGTTTCCGCCATGGCGAGGAGGAGGTTGCCTGTTGTCATGACGAGGTTACACATGGCGCCTTCGGTGCAAGCGGCGACGAAGCTGATCGAGCAAGGACACGTCAGAGTTGGCACAGAGACCATTACAGATCGTGAGCATTGCCGCCTTCAGACTTTTTTTTTCCTTTTTTTTTCTTCCCCTAAAGTGCGTCGGACGAGGGGTTGCTAACATTGTGTGCGACTGCAGCAAGTTTCTTCGTGACCAGGAATATGGAGGACCTGGTGACTTGGGCACCTGGAAGCAAGATCAAGAAGACTATCATGAAGTACCGCGACAAGCTGGACGATTTCGAACTGTTATGAGCGACTTTTTTGGGGTGGGCTGCTGTGGGAGAATATATCATGCTTGTCTTCAAACGAAACCGGCCTATGTTTCTTGATTTCTTGCGAAGAACATTCTCGACTTTCCGGCTTCTTAACGACAACATACTGGAGACCGAGGCTCGGGCTATATGAACGTGCCACGAGGTATCCAGTAATTACCTGCGAATGGCGTCAAAGGCTATCAAGGCCAAACTCTTTCGAATGAGGTCATTCATGGATCTCAACATGTACATGTTTGAATGAGTGGGAAGATGGATAGAACAGAAACCATTTCACTTCCTTCACGATCCTCAGTCGCCCTCCTTCCGTGACTGGGAAGTCTTTTAGAGAATCCCTCCTTGCGGTGATCTGCCACGCCATGGTCGTATTGTATTGATTTTGATGCCCCGTTGACCCCTGGACCCCCTACGGCTGTCTTCGTGAAGATGCCATAGCAGCGGACCTGTGATTGTTGGCAGTGGCTCTCTGATCCACGGGGTCTCTAGCAAGTCCCTAGCCCGTATCGTCCAGCTCCAGCTATTAGAAATTATCATTCAGTCTAACTTAGCCAGTCCTCTGTTCCCGTCAAGTTGGGTCTCTTCTTACGAAGTATTCATTTCGTACAGGGACAAAGTGAAGGTACGAGTAAGAGGTATCCGAACCTGGTCCGTGCTGTACCTAACCGAGGCGCTTTTCGAGATACCTTTAACTTAGTAATTCATCAACTCCCGAGATCGGCGCGGGACGCTGTCACTCACTTGTGCAGCTTATTTTATCGCAGTTCGTGTGTCTCCAAAACTCCAGAGTCGGGGATACTGATTACCTACCTTCGGTGACATTGTCGCCTGATGGAGTCCATACATTCCATATCTTTGACGCTTTGTATTTGGCGGCCATACCATCCGGGAACATTTGTCGCCATACAGACAGGGCCACGGTCTTGGACACACTCACAGCTTCACTTGCGAAGCTCAGAAACCATTTCGCTGCCTCTACGTCACTAACGCAGTGACGGCCTTATCTTCAAATAATGGCCGAGGATGTGAGGGAAGAGCCAAAGCCGGCTTTTAAGAACTACAAAGGGTTTGTGGCTGGCGTCTTTTCCGGCATTGCCAAACTAACAGGTGAGTTTCCTTTTCCTTTTCTTTCTTTTGCTTGGTCATTCCAATCTAAGTATCTGGTCGACTCACTACAGGTCTCTCCCCCCGTCGCTAACACACTCCTAACCTAGTCGGCCACCCATTCGACACGGTCAAAGTCCGCCTCCAAACGACCGACGCCGCCCGTTTCGCAGGACCGCTGCAGTGCGTAACCCAGACGGTCCGGAATGAGGGCATCCTCGCGCTGTACAAGGGCGCCAGCCCTCCCCTCGTCGGGTGGATGTTCATGGACTCCGTCATGCTGGGCTCCCTCAACGTGTACCGCCGCCTCCTGTCCGAGCACGTCTACCACGTGCGCGGTTTCCAGCCCGGCGCGCCGGTGCGGGCCGACAGCCTCCCCTGGCACGGGCACGGCGTGGCGGGCATCCTGGCCGGCGCGACGGTGAGCTTCATCGCCGCGCCGGTCGAGCACGTCAAGGCACGGCTGCAGATCCAGTACGCGGCCGACAAGGCGCAGCGGCTGTACCAGGGCCCCATCGACTGCGTGCGCAAGATCTTCCGCGCGCACGGCATCCGCGGCGTGTACCACGGCCTCGGCTCTACCCTGCTGTTCCGCTCCTTCTTCTTCTGCTGGTGGGGCAGCTACGACGTCTTGTCCCGCCTGCTGCGCGAGCGGTCCGACCTCGGCGCGCCCGCCGTGAATTTCTGGGCCGGCGGGCTCAGCGCCCAGGTCTTCTGGCTGAGCAGCTACCCGTCCGACGTGGTCAAGCAGCGGATCATGACGGATCCGCTGGGCGGCTCGCTCGGCGACGGGGTGAGGCGGTTCCCCCGGTGGAGGGACGCTGCGGTGGCGGTTCGGCGCGAGAACGGGTGGAGGGGCTACTGGCGTGGCTTCATGCCTTGCTTCTTGCGCGCTTTCCCTGCGAATGCCATGGCGCTGGTTGCCTTTGAGGGCGTAATGAGAGCGTTGCCCTGAGGGGGGTGAAACCCTCGACCTCCATCGATTGATTTTGGTGGGATACGAATGTTTGTATATATAACTCGGCATCTTCTTTCTCCTTTTCTTCTTCTTTTGTTCTTCTTTTGTTCTTCTTTTTTTTTTTTTTTTTGGACATTAAGGGGGGAGTGATATAGACGCGGCCCCCACTCCTTGTAGGTTAGGTCTAGGGGATACGATGGATCGAGGATACCCAGGTATAGTATAGTCATCATCACACACGCACATGCAAGAAGACAGCAAAAGCAAGCGAACTTTTGGCTGTGAAGTCATGGCAGATCACAGGGCACTCATCGGTGCCAACATTTTCAGGAGTTTTACCTTCCCTGTGCTAACAATCCAACAACCCACACCGAGCGATGCAGCCGCATCCCATTATCTTCGTCCCGATATGACCAGAAGAACAAGAGCGACACCGAGCGCCGTGGGCGAGCCCCGTCGCGATTCGTGAATTCGTGGATCCGTGAATCGGCATTTACTCCTCGTCCTCGTCGGCCTCATCGTTGACGACGTTGAAGAACTTGAGCTCGTAGACGCCCTTGGAGGTGGCGACGACGCGGAGCCAGTCACGAAGCTGCTGCTTCTTGAGGAACTTCTTGGTCCTAAGATGGCGGAAAACAGAAAAAAAAAAAAAAAAAGCCGGTCAGCGGGGAGCGAACGAATGGGATGAGATGGGGCGGCAGGTCGGCAGGTCGTCAAAGAACACGTACAGGTACTTGAGGTAGCGGCCCGAGAGGTCGTTATGGGAGATGATCTCAATCTTTCCATCGCCAGTCGAGGAGATGGTGATGTTATCGCCGAGGTTGTTCACGCGGCCCTCGACCTTGATGCGGTCCTGGAGGAACTTCTCGAAGGCGGCGACATCGAAGATCTTGTCGTTGGCGGGCTGAGAAGCGTTGATGATGAACTGGAATAGAGTGAGGCATGTCAATCATGTGCTGTCACTTCAAGTCATTGTTCTCTTTACGTACCTTCTTGGTGGTCTTGCCCTTGCCGGCCTTCTTGTTCGCCTATTTGACGTTGAGGGAAGAAAATGACCTTAGCCTACTGCTTTACGCCATCATCTCGGAGAACCGAGACTGGGCCAACAGCAAAGCGGTGTCATGTACATACTGCTTGAGGAGCCATTGTGACTTGGTGATCTGGAGGACGCAAAGAAGTTGGTATCCTGCGCCTGGGGGACCAGTGGTGGTGGTTTTGAGGAATGAAGAGCGGGACGTTCGACGGGCGTGGATGGATGTTCGAGATGTCTCTTTTTTTTTGGAGCAACGATCAAAAAAGTTCGCCCAGATATTCAGTGTGGGAGGGGAAAATCGTCAATTGGTCCGATTAGGGTAAGCCGGATCATACTATTTCCGCTGTAGAACACCCACTTAGCCACAGTGCCGACCGAGTGCAGAGGGGCAGGGTGATGTCACAGTGGCTGTGGCCCTCCAAGCGATAAGAGGGTACGGTACGGTACTCCGTCCTCCGTACCTCGAGAAAGACTGCTGGCCGATATCTCATCCTTCAACACCAACAAATGTCCCCGTCCCCAAAGACTCCAATTTGAATGACCGCCACGTCCGGTGCATTTCGTTCGACATCCAGCATCGTCCATCATCAGCGTTCGTTGTCTTCTCTATGTCTTCGACCGTGTCGTTTTCAGGCTTCGACGAGCTGGGTTGTATTGAGGTCTTGGGGTCCTTTCTCCTTTCCCTTCTTTTCCTTCCCTTTCCTTTTCGTTTTATTTCCTTTTCCTCCACCCCCTTCACTTTCCTACTTACGCCTCCTCTTCCTCACCGGTCTGCCACTATGAGAGACATCTATGATCTATGACGGGCAGATCATCGGGGAAACAGCCTTGATTCGGCCACCGAAGGGAAGCCAAGAAAGAAGTCTTTCCATGTGGCTTACAGATCGATGGGTAAACTGCTTGGAAAGTCTTACATGAGCACAATGACTTGTCATCTGCTTCTGTTCTATTTCCTTGTAGTGCGCGAGTTATATGCGCCTGGTTCTCATCCAGGTTCCGTTTACGTCCGTTTGTTGGCGTCGGATCACCATCTCGACCTCGACCTCGACCTCGATCCCGACGTCGACCCCGAACTTGATGACAACCTCGATGAAGAACCGTTCGTTTGGTACCAAATGCCGGAGATGCCTTGGGACGAGCGGCTTTCGCGTCGTGATTGACATGCATGCTGCGGCCGCGACATGCACGATATATTTGTCCATACCCGACATGTCCCCTGCCCGCCCTCTTCATTGGACAACCATCTGCATCTCGGTTTCATTCGGTACACTACACTGTCGGAAAGTGCACCTCCGCCGCCTGGCATTGACCCGAGCTTAGATGTCACCTGGATCACCTATATCGACCCTTGCGCTCGTTGATGCCTATTGTCCTGCCGTGCCAGCTAGGCATGCGTCTCCCGTCTTCCCATGCTGGCCAAAGCCGAGGCTGCTACCCTGCCTAAGGTAGCCATCCCTCCATCTTTGGGGTTATGAGATTGCCGGCCGGCCCTTATCTTATATTGACCTGTTTCCTTGCTTCAAACAACCTCTTTCGCAAGTCTCCATTCTGTCATCGTCCGCCCCATTTACTCCAGTAGGGAAGACTTCATCCACTTTGCCATGTCACGCCCCATCATCCGCTTTTTGGGATTGGCCATCTCGAGGCCTCGCTAGTCCTTTTCGCCGTAATTGCCTTGTTGTACAACAGCCATCCAGGGTCGTCATGCGACCTTGAGTCATTCCTGTTCGCTGATGGTGGGTGGCTTCAGGCGAGACACGGCCTGATGACAAGACTCTGTATGCGCATCGCATAATAAATGCCAGGCTACCTCTGGGGGGGATTCATTCGAATCGGACACGGGCAGCGATGACGGCTTTCCCACTGCCAACGCCAATGCCAACGACACAGTCATGGTCACCGTCGCTATAGCTGGAGCTGGCACTCTCGCCGGCCTCCTCGCCCACCACATCAGCCAGTCCGCCAACCCAGTCCTCGTATTGTCAAGAGTAGTGAGTCCACAGCCCCCCCGGAGTCGACCCCCTCGTACGTCTATGCCTCATTCATTCCTTTCCCATTAACTAGCCGCGTCTTGGAAAGCCCCGGCCTGCATTCGAGTATCAGTATGACTGCCAAGTTGCAGTTGTCAACTACGGCGACTCCCGTGCCCTGCAATACGCTCTCCGCGGCGTCGACCTCGTCATATCCACCTTCCGCGGGCCCGAGCAGATCAACCTCGTCAAGGCAGCTCGCAGTGCCGGTGTTCGCCGTTTCGTACCGGCCGAGTTCGAAGGGAGTCTGGACCGCCGTCCTCCCGGCCACCGCGATCCATTAGACTTCGGGTCCGCCGAAGCCCGCCAGCTGCTCCAGCACTACGCCAACTCCAGGTCGCGCAATATGCAGTGGACCGCGTTCTCCTGCGGCATCTTCTACGAACGGTTCGGTCCGGGAGGGCTCGGCCCCTACGGAATGGGGGCGAGCAGCTGCGTTGCCAACCAGGGCGACTACCTTATCGACGTCGGCGAGGGGGCGGCGGATATTGTCGAGTTGAACGCCGACGGCCGCTCGGCCCGTATCTGCATGACGTCCCTGGACGACGTTGCCCGCTTCGTGGCGGCCGCCGTCGAGTTGGGAGTCGACACTTGGCCTCGCGAGTATAAGATGCGCGGTGATCGCATGTCTGTGCGAGATCTCTTTGCTCTCTGTAGTCGAGTCCGTGGAGGTATGTTTGTCCGCAGCCCCTATAATTTTTTTTCTTTTTCCTTTTTTCCCTTTTTTCCCTTCTTTTCCTTTCCTTCTAGTCTTTATCTGGACCATCGCCGACGAAGGAAATGCCATCCTTTCTTCTAGTGGGCTTCAGTATCCGAACCAGACCGTACTCGCAGCTTGCCGAACAACAACGGGAATGTGAGCTCAACCAGGACTGGTCGCAGTGGATGTACATTGAACGCCTCCGGGCCACGGCAGACGGCCGGTATGATTTCCACGGAGCCAACCTCAACGACCTCGTCACCCAAAACAACTTGGTCGACCTTGGTCCTGTCGGCTTTCAGGCCTGGCTTGAAATACAGTGGCCCAGAGTAGTACAGGGCCCCTAAGTCCGAGGATTCATCATCATCGTCTTGCGGGACCCGGCTCATCGCCGTACTCTTCTCCAAACTCCATGACGACCCACAGACAAAACTTCTCCCACTCGGTAGCCCACTCCTTCAGCCTCTGCGCCTTGACACCTTCCCCCAGACTCGCTTCCCGGACTCGCGCCGTCCACTCTGCGGCCGTCTCATCCTCGAAAGCAGCCCACCGGACACTGTTCTCAGCAAGCGCACCCAGCCCTTCGAGTCCCAAATCCCCCCACCCCTGCAGCGCCTGCCAAAAGTCATGAGACGTGCTCGAACGGCCCTGTCCCAGCATGCCGGGACAATCGTTGCCCAACGCGGCGGGGACGCCACGAGCCAGCAGGGCGGGGAGCGGATGGGTCGCGACGGGGCCGGACAGGCGCAGCATCTCGTTACTACCGACGGGGCACAACTCGACCAGGACGCGCTTCTCCTTGACCATATCGATCAGCAGCGGGTGGCGGTACAGCGAGAAGGCGTGCCCCAGCCGGCGGGTCCCGAGCAGCAGCGCGTCGTACAGGTTCGTGTTTGCCATTCCGGGTCCCGAATCGAGCGTCTCCCCGGCGTGGAAGAAGAAGGGAATGTCGACGCCTTCTTGCGCGCACTGTTTCCGGAACCAGAAGAGCTCGGGCAGGAGGTCGCGGAGGGGTCGGCCGCGGTCTTCCTGGCCGCAGACGTCGTAGCCCGCGATGAGATGCGGGAAGGCGAGCTTGGTGGTGATGCAGTTGTCCATGTCCTGGATTAGGTCGCGGGTCTGGAGGGCGCGGGGGGAGGTCCAGATGACGCGGAGGCCCCAGAAGGAGGAGTTGGCCGGGTCCGACTTGAAGCGTGTAAGCTCTTCGTCGATGACACTGTACAGGTAATGGTAGTCTTCTTCGGGGGTCTCGCTGCCTTGACGGTAAAAGTCCAGGGCATATGTGATTCTACGGGTTTCAGGGTTTTATCAGCAAAACGCGAAAATGAAACGGTGATGGAGACGGATAGGAGAGGGGGGCCTGACGGCGCGTGTGATGGGAATAGAGGCGCCCTTCGTACCGTATCTCGATCCAAGAAACGCCACCATCACGAAGATGGCTCATGAGCCTTCGCAAGAAAGCACGAAAAATGGGTTCGTAGTGAAGGATAGAGTCGGCTATCTGGAAGCACCGCTCAAAAGAGCGCCAGATGGCACCAGGGCCGTGATGACGATCCTGGACCGCCTCATGGGGCGAAATGACGCACTGCGCCTTCAACCAGCGCATGAAACCTGCTCTACCTTCGTCGGGAAACTCATCTGCCGCTCTAGAAAGCGCTTCCCAGGTGCCGGGAACATAATCGGATGCCCAGATGGATGCCCCGCTCGTCTCTTTCTTGCGGAAGCGGAGGCGGAAGCGAACGTGGCCGGAAACCAGTAAAGCGGGTGAGGATAGAGGGCCGTGAGCGGAGATGTGTATCCCGGGTGTCTCGAGGAGGAGGCCGATCACGTAGTCAAAGTCGGCCAGGCCATCTAGGTGAGAATGTAGCGCCGCGCCCTTGGGTAACTTGCGGACGATGCGCCAGAGGTCGGTTGTTTCGATGAGAGGCCTGTCGAGGTGAAATGGCATGCCTGGGTGGACTGCTCTATCCTTGGAATCTCCCTTGTCTGAATCGGCTTCCCCTGCCGCCGCGGTGGGAGACCAGACCGTTTTGTTCTCGTGCTCGCGGATTCGAGAGACGATGGCTGCTGCGCGGCGGGCGATGGGGGAGAGGGAGGCGCGGAAGGGGGCGTCGAAGCGGAGGGCTGATTCTTTGGATTGCAGGGCTTCGCTGCCGGAGACGAATTGGCGAATAAAAGGGTCATCTAGTGAAGGGATGTCCTGGGCCAGGAGCTCGTAGTCTTCGTCGGAGAGGGACATGGTGGGTTGGGTGCATATAAGGGATAGAGGCGGGCAATTCAGGTGACGTCAGTTGTGAATGGGATATGATGGGGGGCGGGGGGGATGTGACGGTCCAGGACAGATTGAAAATTTCCAGGATTCGAAACAGATAACTAGTGTAGTATAATGTAAGATACTCTCCTGTGAGAGACGTTTTGCATGAGACGTCCAGAGTAGGGATAGAGGGTTGGAAGACGAGGGGCAGGACGGATGTGGAAAGGGCGGATGCGGAAAGGGCGGATGCGGATCCTTGTGGTCGGCGAGAAATCAAATTGGTAATTGATTATAAAGAGTAGCTTCTGTTTCTCGTAGGATATGTATGTATTACTTACATTAGAGACGAAGAAGGGGGCAGTGTATTTAGGATGGGAGCAACTCCAGGATCGAAGGGTGAATGTGTTTTCGTGATGGTTTCCCTTGGTGGTGAAGGTGCTCTTGAGACAACGAAATAGGTAGGTACTTCGTACAGTGTACAAGTATGAATATCGCCAAATAGTACAGAAGTATTGGGGAAGCTTGGTACGCACCAGTAAATAAATTCCGTACCCCGTACGGTGCATAGGAATCCACACGGAGTCACGGACCACAGAACTTCGTACACCACTGTGGGCGTGTGCACAGACCACCTGTCAGCCGATATCTGAAGTAAGGTACCTTACCTTACGAAAGTACTCCGTACATCAGCTTTTCGAATCAGTTCAGTCGACCTTATCCGAGGCCAGGGACTAACAGGGATATGAAAGAATAAATAAGACGGTCAGATATGGAGATTGAGTGGTATGACAAGTGAAGGGCGTGGTTCGATCAGAATAGGCGAGGACCCCTTATCCGCGGCTCTTCTCTCGGCTTTACACCGATCCGAGTCCCGTGATATCGGCGGTAAGTGGGTCTCCTCCCCCCGGTGCCCCGTCCTCCGATCAGGGGGTTCCACTGAGCCCAACTACAAGCGAAGGAGTTGTGCCGCACCCATCTAATATGTCTCTGTTTCTTACCATCCTCTATCGTTGTCCTCATAACGTTGTCAGTTATCCAAAAACGACTCCGGCCCCCCCTCACACCTGCACCTGGAGATCCTCCCGATTCGCGAAACTCCCACCCCTCCACGCCGCCCTGGGATCCGGCCGACGATCAACCTCTCTCTCCTCCCCGGGGACGCCCCAGCCGCCACCGCCAGGTGTACACACAATGATCCGGTCTCCCGGCTTCATGGGCGCACTGTTCTTCGCTCCCAAGTTGAACCTCCTTTCCTCGTACTGCACTTCTTCTTCCCCTTTTTCCTCCCCTGCCGCTGCCGCTGCCGCTGCCGCTGTCGCATCACCGTTGCCCCCCTGCCCGTTACTGGCGCGCAACCTCTTCAGCGACGTCTCCCAACTGCTCTTCTCCACCTTCCGCACCCACAGGTTCAGCCCCGCTTCGCCGTCCTCACCCCCCGCCATGCCGTACGGCCGGTACACCCGCCTCTCGCTGAGAATCGACACCTGCACAGGGATCCGGAACTCGATATCCCGCACCACGCCGTCGCCACCCCTGTGCTTGCCCCGCCCGCCCGATCCGGGCCGCAGGGAAAACTCGCGCAGCAGCACGGGGTACCGCCTCTCAAACACCTCCGAGTCGGTGATGCGCGTGTTGGTCATGTGCGTATGCACGCCGCTGGTGCCCTCCCACGTCGGGCCCGCGCCGCTCCCGCCCGCGATGGTCTCGTAGTACCCGAACCCTTTCACCGCCTCGCCTTCCGCGCCGCCGACGTTCCCGCCGAACCCGAACGTCAGGTTGTTGCAGTCGCCCTGGCTGGCCGCGCACGCCTGGAACGCCTTGAAGATGACGTCCGTGACCCGCTGGCTCGTCAGCACGTTCCCGCCCACCACCGCCGCCTTGTCCGACGGCGAGAGGAGCGAGTGCGGCGGGATGACCACCGTCACCGGCTTCAGGCACCCCTGGTTGAGCGGGATGTCCTCCGAGATGAGGCAGCGCAGGCAGTAGATGATGGCGCTGAACGTCACCGCCTCCGGCGCGTTGATGTTGCCGTACACCTCGGGCCCCGTCCCCGTAAAGTCGAACACGGCCTCGCCCTTCTCTGCATCGATGGTGACCTTGAGCCGGATCGGGCTGCCGTCGTCCATGAAATCGACCGCCTGCAGGTCCCTGCCCTCGAACCGCCTGCTCACGTCCCTGAGAAGGTTCCGCACGCAGAGCTCGGCGTTCTTCTGGATGCTGACCATGTAGAACTGCACCGTGTCCTCGCCGTATTCTTCGATGAGCCCCTCGATGAGGGAGATGCCCTTCTGGTTCGCCGACACCTGCGCACGGAGGTCGTTGATGTTGTCCGCGAGACACCGCGTGCCGCTGCAGCCCGGGTACTGCGCCGGCTCGTCGTAGAACAGCTCGACGACCCTTTGTTCGTTGAACCGGCCTTGGCTGACGAGCTTCTCGCTCTTGATCGCAGCGCCTTCCTGGTACAGCTCCCTCGAGTGGGGCGGCATGCTTCCCGCCGTGATGCCTCCAATATCGGCATGGTGGGCCCTCGATGCAGCGTAGAACAGGATCTCGTCGCCCGCCTCGTTGAACGCCGGCATCACCAGCGTCACGTCGGGCAAGTGGGTGCCGCCGTACGAAGGGTGGTTGGATATGATGACGTCTCCCTTTCGGAGGTTCCCTTTCCAGATCTCCGCCTGCCGCTTGACCAGCGTCGACATGGAGCCCAGATGGACCGGCAGGTGGGGTGCGTTCGCCACGAGGCCGCCCGTGGCGTCGAAGATGGCACACGAAAAGTCGAGACGCTCCTTGACGTTGGTGCTGACGCTCGTCTTCTGCAGGGCGCGTCCCATTTGCTCGGCAATGGCCATGAACCGATGGCCGAAGATGCTGAGCATGATCGGGTCAACTTCGCGGTCGTCCTGGCCCGACTGCTCCTTTTGCGCTTTGCTGTCCGGCTCGTGTTCCAGGACAACATGGGTATCAAGAATGAGGGCCGTCGACGTGGGCGTCACGACGATGGTCTGCGTGCCGTCGGCCAACATGGCCGGTCCCTTGATGGAGTGGCCGGTGCTGAGGTCGGCCAACTTGTACACGGGGGTGTCCAGGCGACCGCCCTCGAAATACACCTGCTGCCGATCGTACACTTTGTCCTGTTCGACGTCCTTCCGGCGGAGTTCCTTCAGTTGCTGGTCCACCGATTTTTCCGTACGCCTGAAGCTCCTGCCGATGCCCCTCACGCGGACGTCATCGACAATAATGTCGCGGTCGTCCAGGGTGAACCCGAACTCGTACCGGTGCTGCTTGACGAAGGCGTTTCCGAAATCCCAGTCGTCCTCGTCGCTTGGCTTGATGATCATCAACGCAGATTCCGTCCCGCGATATCGCATGTTCAGGTACTCCTCGAAGACGATCTCGTTCTCCTCGTCTGCGAAACCCTGATCGCGCAGGGCCTGGCGCGACTTCTCCTTCAGTTTCTCCATCTTGCTTTTCAGCTCCTCGACCGCCTGGCCCGGATACGCCCACAAGGTCGAGTCCGGCTCCTGGCGCTCGTCAACCACGTCGGCCAGCGCCATGCCGTACGCCGACAGCACGGAGGAGTACCTGTGGACGAGGATCTGCCTAATGCCAAGGGACTCGGCAATGGCGACAGCATGCTGGCCGCCGGCGCCTCCGAAGGTGGCCAGTCGGTGCTTGGAGCTGTCATGGCCCTTGGCCTCGGTGATGGAGCGGATCGGCCGGGTCATGGTCTCGTTCGCTACGGTAAGGAAGCCGTACGCCACCTCGTCGACGCTCATGTTTTTCCCCGTCTCCCGATTGACCTGGTCGGCGAGTTCCTGCAGGACGGCCTTGCTCGCTTCGACGTCCAAGCCTTCGTCCTCGTTCTTGCCGAAGATCTTGGGGAAGAAGTCGGGGAGGAGCCGGCCAAGGTAGAGGTTCGCGTCGGTCACGGTGGCGGGACCGCCCTTGCGGTAGCAAGCAGGGCCGGGATGGGCGCCGGCGGATTCGGGACCGACGACGAAAAGCCCGTTCTTCCAGAAGAGCCTGGAGCCGCCACCGGCGGCGACGGTGTTGATGTCGAGCTGGGGGGACTGGATAGTGACGCCGGCGGTGGTGGTTTCGAAAACGTGTTCATAGCGACCTTGACCGTAGCGCGACACGTCGGTGCTGGTGCCGCCCATGTCGAAGCCGATGACAGGAATCTTCGTCTCCTCGTCGTAAGACGTGACGGCGTAGCCGACCACGCCGCCTGCGGGCCCCGACAGGATAGCCTTCAGACCGGTGAACTTTTCAACGTCCACCAGGCCGCCGTCGCTCTGCATGAATTCACACCTCGCTCCTCTACTCGATTTGTCTTCCTTCACGCTTCTGGTGCCGAGACCGCCTTCAAAGCCCGACTGGAAGCCTGAAATGTACTTCTTGATAGCGGGGGTCAAGTAGGCGTCGGCGCAGACGGAGGTGGCCCTGGAGACCAGCTTGATCATGGGCATCAGCTCGTGGCTCAGCGATACGTGCTGGAAACCGACATCTCTCGCCACCTTCCCGACCAAAGCCTCGTGATCCGGGAAGGTATAGCCGTGCATGAGGCATACGGCTATGCTGCGGATCCCCTTGTTGTAAACCTCCTGCAGCTGGGCCCTGATGCTCTCCTCTTGCGGCCGCCGCAGAATCCTCACGGCCTCGCCCGAAGCACCCTGAACAAGGTCGGCGGTCTTGGCCCCTTCGGTTCCGGCAAGCACATCCACCTTGGTGACAGTCCTCTCCGGGTCCTCAGCGTAGTCCTCGAGAGTGACGCGCTCGTCGATCTCGACGACGTGCTCGTACAAGACGTCGGGCTTGCGGATGGCCAGGTCGAAGATCTTGGGGCGACTCTGGTTCCCGATGGCGAGGCAGTCGCGGAACCCCTGGGTGACGACGAGGGCGATACGCTCGCCTCTCCGCTCGAGCAGGGCGTTGGTGGCGACGGTGGTGCCCATGCGGATGGAGTCGATCTGGGACGTGTCCAGCGGGGCACCCCGGGGGATCTCGCGGCCGGTGAAGTGGGACATGATGCGTCGGATGCCCTCGAGCGGGGCGTCGGCGTAGTTTGACGGGTCTTCGGAGAGGAGTTTGATGATGATCTCGCGGCCGTCGAGCTCGCCGACGCAATCGGTGAAGGTGCCGCCGCGGTCGATGGCGATGCGGATCCCCCGGCCGCGGGGTACTGGCTCGTTGGGGCTCATTGTGGTGTTCTTTTTATCTGCTCGCAGTTTCCTTCTTTCCCTGTTTCCAGTCCCTCCCGTCTGCCCGTGTCACCTTGTGCTTGTGAACTTGTATCAGGAATAGTGTCGGAGAATATGGTCGTAGTCTCGTATCCCGTGCTATTTCTCAGGGTTGACTCTTGAGCACTTAGCTACCTTGGACATTAGCAGCTTTCACGAGCAGGATGCAGGACTGGGATTCGGATGAAAGGATGCAACATAAGATGGGGAGGGAGAAAGACGAAGCAACGAACGATACACAGCACGGGGGCATGAGGTAGGAAGCTGAAGATACAATGGAAGACAGAAGATACCTTATACGTACGAAATACTTCGTAATAGGAAAGGCAATCATTACCAAATGTCCGTCACGGTCTGCCGTCATCGGAACGCTTTGAACCCCGCGTCTGCGGCCTGTCCCCTCAACTGTACGTACTCCGTCCGCATCCCACCTCCTCCACCTGAGGGGCTTCCCCAAGAGGCCGTGATAAGCTGATAAACCGAGATTGTACCTCAACTAGCGCGCTAGGGCAGTCAGTGAGAAAGTGTCCGTACCGTACAAGCCCGACTTGTCCCGACTCTTATGCTTCCAAGGGACGACACTCGTCTCAACTAACTAACCCCTTTGACCAGTTCCCAAGGTACCGACTTCGAACTCATGCGTGATGGTAAGTCCCCGAAACGTCTCCAGGTGCCGATAAGGTACCTTAGTGTACGGATAAGGTACCGAATTAGGTACGGATACCTAAATTAGTGTCAACCGTAAGGTACTCAGTACCTGAAGTTAGATCTCGGCCGAACGACTCGGAAAGTCACCGACAAGTGCACACCGAGCACATACCGAAACAATCGCGAGTGCATCACGTCCTCAGGGGACAAGGACCAGCTCCAGGACTAAGAACTGTCTCAAGTCAAACGGCGATGGTTCTGAAGCCATCTGTCTAATTAATATAACGTACTCGTATATAATATATGGCGTTTGGCTCCCTTCATTTTCACCCCGGGTGTACGCGACTCGATGCCCTGACGACGATGGTCGTCCCCGTCGCAACCCTTCTCCTTCCCTGCCCCTAGTCGTTGATTGATTACAGTGTGTGTATACATATGTATGCCTATGCTAATGTACACTAACGGTGAAGTGTACAATGCCAAAGGAGAAGAAAAAAAATCATATCGTGCCCAGATGGGGCGCATGGCATCATATCCCGCCATCCTGTGCATGTCCTCATCTCGTCTCGTGTGTCGTAGGAATTTCCGGGCCCCAGCCCAAAGACACCCCCCTTTAGTGCGTCACAACCCGTACGACCTGCAGCATGATGCCAAACATCAAACCCCTTGCCACCTCCTCAATCTGCAAACAGTCAAAGATGCGCCCCAACGCGTCCGTCGTCGCCGCCTGCCCCATCACCCCCGAAAGCGCCGCCGGCACGCCACGCTCAATAAGCATCCTGCGCGCCTTGACCCGCAGCTTCTCCTTCTCCTCCGCCGACATCTCGACCGGCCAGCCCGCCTTCTCCTCCTCCGTCGGCATCGCGTTCTCCCGCAGCTTGCGCAGGTGGTGCGCGATCCCGCTGTCGCTCGTGTTGCCGTCCAGGACCGAACTTTGCATCATCCGCTGGATCGACACCAGCGACGGGTTGCCCGGCCGGAGGAGGAACGACTTGGCCGCCGCCAGCAGCGTGCGTCGGATGTTCCACGCCGACGAGAGCGTGTACATCTCGTTGATTACGGCGAACACGAGCTCCACCGCCACCCGTGTTTCTTGCTCCGAGAGCTGTGCGTACTGCCACTGCGACTGCCGGGTCGGTCTGGTCGTCGTTGCCGTGCTGTCGTTAGGTTTCGTGTTGGTGTTCGTATTGATGTTGGTATTGATGTTGGTGTTGGTGTTGGTATTGGTATTGGCACCAGGCTTCGAGTGCGCGGGGAATGTATGGCACTGGGCAAGAGGGGACGAGATGCTAGCCGACGAGTTTTCCCGCGACAGGACCCCCGGCTTTTTGTTCGCCGCGTCGCCCTGGTGGCCCGACTCCTCCTCGAACCCGTGCGTCTCTTCCGTGGGCGTGAAGGCCCTCAAGCCGTCCAAGCTCAGGGTCGAAGGCGACCGCAGCGGGGATCGCAGCGCCGCCAGGCTCGACGCCCTACTGTGTTCCCGGCTCGCGCGGCCGCTGGGCGGGCCCCTATCCCACCGGTCCAGCCGGGGCTTCAGGCCGTCAGGTTCCGGTTCGCGCTCGCCGCGCGCGTCGTAGCTCGGCCGCCGCTCCATAGGCGCCATCTTGCCCGGCTGCACCGACACGACCGAGGACCGCTGGCTGTCGAGACTATCGCGCGGTTTACGGGCTCCCACGCCCGGCGGCGAGAAGACCGGGCCGCTGCTCAGGTTAGGTGAGATGGAGCCGTCCCTCTCCACCATTCTTGGAGGCGCATTCAGCGACATGGACGACCGGCTCGGCTGTTGCGTCTGGATTTCGCTCGGGGAGGAAGCCGTCTGCCGCCGAGGCCCGAGACCAATGTTGTTGAATACACCCGTGACCCCGCCAAACACCGCCTTGCCGCCTTCCACGGCACCCTTGGACCCCATGGCCAGGACGTCGACCATGTTCTTGCCGACAATGTCCCAGCCAAGAACCCCCTTCGGTTCCTCGCGACCCCGAGAGTATCCCGCGTCCTTGTCCAAGAAGCGCTTCATGCCCTCGCTCTCGGCCAACGGCTGGTACCAGCAGGCGTCTCGCACGTACCGCTCGAGTTCGCCCCGCAGGGACTCCCTCGTGTGCATCTTCCAGTCGGGCAGTTTGCCGTGTTGTTCCGCGAAAGCCGTGGCGCCGGAGATGGCGGCGATGCGCCTGAGGATCTCATGAAGCGTCTCAAAGTCGGCGTACTTGCGGACAATCATCCACCCGGGGTGGTGCGAAGAGGCCGGTTCGATCTGGACCAGATAATCCCACCAGGGCTTGCTCTTGATGCGCGCCTTCTCGTTCTCGTTCGCCGCGTCGTCGTAAATGGTGATGGTCGCGTTGTGTAGCGTAAGGAGGGGTTTGCGGGGCCCTTCGCCTGGAGCCTCCTCTGGCTCCTCTTTTGCGGGGGGCACGATCTGGTCGAAGTTGGTGAAGTTATTTGTCATGCTGTTGCGGTGGATGGACTGCTTCGGCGACGAATTTCGGCTCTGCGAGTCGGCGGCGGACGACACCGGCGTGATCGGGGATTGTAGGCTCCCGCGCTTGCTGGATCCGTCCATCGACGGTTTCTCCAAGGAGCCTCGGGACCGAGGCGACACGTTACCTGACGTAGACGCCGGCTTGTGGTTGGCCTCGTCGTCCTCCTCCTCCTCCGAGTGGCGGGGCAAACCAGTGGCTGACTTTTCCTCCATGCTTTCCTTGATTGGTGGTGTGCTTTCTCCCGCCGTCCCCCGAGAAGCGTCTTCCTTGGATGACCGACGTTCCGCCTGGGCAATCATGGCGTTCATGCGCCTCATCTCTTCCACTGCGTGCTCCATCTCCTCGTCGGCCTTGCTGAGCTTCTTTTTATGGCTCAGGGCATCTTTCCGGCGTGCTCTTTCGAGGTCGAACGAGTTGCGATTGCCCTTGACGAGGGAAATGTTGCCGACATTGCCATCAATGTCCACAAACGCACTGTGGTTGATGGCGGATGCGGCGCCGGCTTCTGGCCCAGTCTGCATTCCTTCGTCTATGGCTTGGCTGAAATCGGGCTCACCGGCCTCGAGCAGATGTACGATCCAGCCATTGATCCACTCCGGTCTGGAGCAATTCCGGAGGGACGACTCTAGGACGACGCCGGCGAGGATCTCGCGCAGGAAGACCCGGGCGGGGTCGCAGTTGCTTGAGGAGCGGTCGAGGTATTGCAGCAGATCTTCGGCAACCATGCGGAGCTTGGTGGCTTGTTGAGAGAGATTCAGAAGGTTGGCCAGACTCGAATCGGGGTTATCGGCGAGGTAGCTGTAGACGGCATCGGGGGCGGAGAGGTTGACATCGGCGGGGACGTCGGCATAAGCTGCGGACAGTTCGGAGAGGAATACGATGACGATGGAGGAAGCGTTTGTGAGTAAGTCGAGAAAGGCGTCGGCGGGCCGCTTGCGGCAGAGGGCGTTGGACACGGAGAGGAGGAAGGAGTTGAGTGCCCTGCGACAGGCCAGGGGGAAGGACGAGTCGGAAGGGAGGAGTGGAGAGTACCACCACTTGACATAGTCACGGATGATGGCGTCGACGAGACCGACCAGTGCGTCTCGCGTCTCTGGTCTGAAATCGTCAAACGAATGGATCAGGCGTTCGTCTTGCTGTGCATCATTCTCCTTGGATGGGTCGGAGGCTTTGTCGAGACCCAGACGGCGAAGGACGTCAATGGCACTTTCGCCGCGAATGGTCTGGGAGACTTCGGGGTGGCGAGCCTCGTAGGAGATAAAAAGGACGACGCCTCCAAAGGCGCCCATGAGAATGAGGCCCAGCTTGCCGAGAATCACATAGGTAGCGGCAGCCAGGCCGACGCCTACTCCGACAAGCTGTTTGGGGGTAGCGGTGGAGAGGAATTTGAATAGTTTGGAGAGAAGGTCATCTTCCGACGGCGAAGGGGAAGGTGAGGATGATGACGGGATGGATGATGAGAGGGCGCATGTTGTGGATGGAGCGGAGGACGGAAGGGAGGGATTCGTGTCGCTGGTCTTGGTGTTTGTAGTTGTGCCCTTGGGAAGGGATATCTCGGTTTCTTCAGGGTGATTCTCTCCCGGAGGATCGGGCTCGGAGACTTGTGTCTTGACGTCCATGGAGGTCATGTTGATAAACTTGGGTTATCGCGTGAGAGGCAATGCGCAAGGCTGTTAATTCGGCCTCACATCCCAACGACCGAGCCAAGAGAAGAATAAGAAGAAGAAAAAAAAGAAAAAAAGAGAAAGCCTCCAACGACGACAAAGTCCGACGTAGAGGAGGGGATCTCTGCGCGTGACGATAGACAAGGAAGAAAAAAAAGGCAGAGAGTATTAGGCAGTGTACAATGTAATTACAATTCAATAATGCCAACAACGATGGTATGGCAAGTACCTTAATTAAGAAGACGATGAAATGAGGAGGAGTTGTGTGTTTGGCGATGATGGTGGTGATGGCGATGGCGACGGTAGCACGCGACATTGTAGTTCGAAGCACGGATACGAAGTTCAGACAGGGCTTCCAGGGATGAGCCAGTAATAAATCAGCATTAAATTGAATAATAGGGGGAGGTGGGGCTGGCTCCCCTGGCTTAGGCCTTGCGCCGGAACAGGGGTACGTAGATGTGTGCACACACTGACGCGTCAGACAGGTACTTTATTATTACTTGTCTGAGGAAGTGCTGCAAATCCCTTGTAACTGGAGGGCACAGGCAATTTGGGATTGGGGGCCTTCATTTCAATTACCAGCTTGGCATCTGCTAAAAATGTTCCGCCTGAACAACTACCCGGCTTGGAGGGAGAGGAAGGACTTGGTTACAGTACGGGGGTTCTTTTTTTTTCCTTTCTTTTTTTTTTGTGAAGAAGAAGAAAAATAAAGAGGAAGAGGCCCTCAACAGGTAATCACTACAAAGTTACAAATGACATGTCGGTAAATGGTCGTCAAGCCCTGATCTATTAAGGTAGTAAGTATGGAGTTGGTGGCACGGATTTTCTGAATATTTTATTTCCGACGAGTTCTCTCGGTAGGTACCCAATTTTTCATCTGGTGAGGGCACGTGACATGGCGTCCGCATTCCCCACTTTGATTTCGGACCAGTTGAGTGCGTTGACATCACCATTGTTCGGTAGGCGCGATGGACCTGTACCTCTTGACGCGACTTCAATTGAAGCGCAAGTGGTTATCCATCTGGGTCATCGTCACACAACAAGTCGATCCTCTTCTTTAACACGCAGGGTATTTTTCAGCGGTTTCCCTTTCAAATTTTCCTTCGTTATTCTACATATGCATCTCGAGTCTTTTCCCTGAACCCTGACCTGGGATCATCCCTCCGCCGAATTACCACAAATCTGCCAACACGTGTACTGCATCAACGCAAGTTTGCCCAAATCTGGTCCACCCAGGAATCAAGTCTCGGACCGGGTTACACAAACAGATCTTGTCTCGTCTTGAATATCCATCGACATAATTATCTTTGAGTCCTTTCGAAGTCTCGTATTGTTGACTTTTCTCTTGGACGCGAGCGACAAACGACCAACAGCTACCACACCACCATGCCCGTTTCCAAAGGCACAAAACGGAGCGCCTCGCGCGTTGACAACAGCGGAGACGAAGGCGCCCCGGTTGTTCTCAAGTCCTTCAAGAAGTCCAAGACGGCCGCGACCTCTCCCAGCAGTGGTCATGATAAGGAAGGGAACCCATACTGGGAGGTACGTCAATGCGCCACCTTCACCAGCCTCTCCTTCCATGGGGGGTTTTTTTTTCCTCCTCTTCTCAATGTGAGACTCATACGTCTTGCGCGATACAATAGCTCTCCAACAAGCGCCGCATCGGAGTCTCCAAGTTCAGAGACATGACCATGATCAACATTCGCGAATTCTGGGAGAAAGATGGAGAGATGCTGCCAGGCAAGAAGGTGAGCTCTGCAATGCTGCGACTCTGCTGTTCTGTTCTCTGTTCTCTATCTCTATTCCCTCGCTTGCACAAGCGGCGCCCTCGCAATCTCCCAGACGAAAGCTGACTCGAGATGTTTTCTCTTTTTCTTTTTTTAACCAGGGCATCTCTCTCTCGCTGCAACAATACGAAAACCTACTCAAGTTCGTGCCGGAAATCAACGCTCATCTTCGCCAAATGGGCCACGACGTGGAGGACTCGGAGGACGCGGGAGGCGTGTCTACATCGGGCGATGGCGAGCCGAAGCCTCCCAAGAAGTCGAAGCAAAAAACCAAAAAGTCCAATATCGAGGCGACGAGTGACGAGGAAGAGGAAGAGGAGGAGTGAATGCGATACGCCAAAACGACTATCATGACACGGGACTGTGGACTGGGGACTGGGGACAGGAGAGGGGTCCTGGAGACCATTCAGACTGGAGGGCAAGGCTAATTGATACTGGCTTAATATTGACCATCTTGGGGTTGCTGGCGCTAGGGTTGGGGGGTTTTGTTTTCTTCATGTCTTTTCCCACCTGGCTTTCCGGAAATCCTTCATGTAGTAATCAAGGGACGATGCTGGCCTTTCGATAAAGATGACTTGGTACTCTGTACCTTGTGTTTCCGTAGTAATTACTTTGTATCCCGTGTGTACCTTAGGTTGAGAAGCGTTGCTCTGTCGAAATTGACCCCCGCACCGACATCGGGTTCGATCCAGAAGGGGTAGAGTGACGAGTGCACGAACCACATTTCACCGGGGGATGCATGCAGCAGTGAGGAGCGGGACAAGCGGAAGTATTCCGTTATGCGGAGACCAGTAAATTGCTCCAAGTCCCTCCACCTCCACCTCCACCTTTCCACCTTCACCTCCACACCCACACCCAAGACAATCACAACCCGGCCACTATCAATGATTCCCACATACATCTTCCTAACTAGGTAGGAGCCTAGGCATAAAGACTCCCTTAACTCGGGACATGTGATGCCTACGTTGCAGTTGAGAAGATATCCCAACCATGGTCATAAACCATAAACATACAAGCGATTTCTCACCAAGACCGGTGTCGAGACTCCGGAAACATCGTCATCATCAGTCTCCGTATCCATTGATTGATTGAATCGAGACCACGTCCGAGTCGATCGAGTCCGTCAAACCATGGAGCCGTCTGGATCCGACAAGGGCTTCTTTCAGCCACCCCCCGAACTGCCTAACCAGTTCCACGACGATGTTTGCTTCCAGAGAGCCTTACAACGTGAGTCTGAAGAGAGATGACTCGCCGGTACTGAAACGGACAAGGGATGGGATAAAAGAAACTGAGGCCCATGTTTGTCTCACATCACTCACCACCCACAGTCTTTCTGCCCCCCGATATTCGAACCGCCGTAGAGCCCGAGCTCGCCCAACTGGGCGAAGATGTCCTCTCGGACCAGATCTTCGCCTGGATCACCGACGCAGAACGGAACAAACCCTACCTGCGCGGCGCCGGTCGGGACGCCTTCGGCCGCCCGCGCTCTCACCTCGTCGTCGGCGAAGGGTGGCGCCGTCTCCAAGAATTCGGCCTCTGCAACGGTTTCGTCGCTGCCGGCTACGACCATGGTGCCGTCTCCGCATACGGTCCTTTCGCCCGCGTCGTGCAGTTCTTCCGCCTCCACCTCTGGACCGCCTCGGCCGCCAACGTCACCTGCCCTTCTGCCATGCAGGATGGCGCCGCCCGCCTGCTCCAGCTCCACCTCGCCCGGAGTGACCTCGACCCCACGCGCCGCATGGTTTTCGAGAACGCCTTTCGCCACCTCACCTCCCGTGACCCGGCCACGGCTTGGACGAGCGGCCAGTGGATGACGGAGCGTACCGGCGGGAGCGACGTCTCGTTGACCGAGACCCTGGCACGGTACCGTCCCTCCTCCGCAGACCCGAACAACCCCCCCGGCCTAGCGAGCGCCGAAGAGGGCATCCCGCTTGGTCCTTGGTCCGTCTCGGGCTTCAAGTGGTTCTCCAGCGCCACCGATTCCGCCATGACTATCCTGCTAGCCAGGACTCCCAGAGGCATAACGGCCTTCTTCGCTCCCATGAGACGCCACGACCCCTCCGCCCGTTCGGAGCTCAACGGCGTGCGGATCCAGAGACTAAAGCACAAGTTCGGCACCCAGTCGCTACCGACCGCGGAACTCGAGCTGGACGGCATGCGCGCCTGGCTGGTAGGCGAAGACGGCCGCGGCGTCAACGAGATCGCCACCGTCCTGACCCTGACCCGGATCCACTCCGCCGTCGCTGCCCTCGGCTACCTCGGTCGCGGCCTCGGCGTGGCTCGGGCGTACGCCAAGGTGCGCGTCGTCGGTGCGGGCCGCGGACGCCGCCTCCCCCTAACCGAGAGCCCGCTGCACATGCGCACCCTCGCTGCCATGACCGCCGACTACCACGGCCTCCTCCTGCTGACCTTCTTCACATCGTACGTCCTGGGTCTGGACGAACACCCGGCCTCGAAACAAACCCATGGAGGGGGGAGCATCCCGTCGGTGTTGGCCGCCTTGACCCCGGATACCGCGTCCGTGGCGCCCCTTTTGCGCGTCCTCACCCCGCTCTGCAAGGCGTACGTCTGCAAGAACTCCGTGCCCCTGCTGTACGCCTGCATGGAGTCCCTCGGCGGCCTCGGCTACATGCTCAACGAAGAGACCGAGTACCTCAATGTGGCCAGGTTGTTCCGCGATTGCGGCGTTCTGGCCATCTGGGAGGGCACCACCGACGTCTTGTCCACCGACTTTGTGAGGGCGCTGAAACACCCCAGAGGCGGCCGGGAGTGTCTAGACGCGCTGGATCGTCTTATCACTACCGGATGGCCCAAGGACGCGGCCGAAATGGAGAGAGGGGACCAGTCTTCGTCCTGGTGCCCTCTTACTTCATGGCAGGCCACCAGAGCGCTTCTTGAGGCCCATTCGCAAGATGAGCTGATCGGGGACGCGCGGCAGATCCTCTGGAGTGTTGCCGAAGCCATCATCGCCGTCTTGCTGTACTCCGATGTTCGACGCGATGGTGGTGAAGCAGCACGAGACATCTTGGACCGGTTCGTCGCACAGCGATCTCGGCATGCTGGAAGTAGTCCACAGGCACAGGGATACACCGCAACGCTGCAAAGAGACAAGGCCATTGTCTATGGAGGTGCTGTCGCAGGAACCTCGAGATTATGATCTGGCACAAAATGTGTGGAGTGGTCATTCCATTGATATATTATATTCCCGACGCATATACACAGTCGCGGGAGCCCATTTTGGTTCTATGGAGATAATAATGCATAAATAAATGAATAAATAAATGAACACGGGCTTCACCCTCACCGCCCATGCTGCCGAGCTTTCGGCATCTTCTTCTCATCAAGCCCCTCCATGTCCTTCTGCTTGTAGAAATGCGGCGCCAGCTCAGCCAGCCACTTCGCCTCAATGGGCATGCAGCTCCGCATGTACTCCTTGGTGGTCTGCACCAGCTCAAAGTAAATAAGCATCCTGACGGGCGGGTCAACGCCCATGAGCACCGAGCTCGGGTGGACGTACACGGTGGCATTCTTCTTGACGGTGCGGTAGCTGTCGCCGCTCCTCTGCAGGCGCGCCGCGTTGGGGAAGAAGCCCGCGGTAATGGCCCGCTTGATAGGCGCCATGTTGGCGGCGCCGCCGCACGACGACGGCGTCACCTCGACGCGCTCGCAGAGCTTGGCCAGCTGGTCGCGCACGTCGCGCGCCCGCGTCAGCGACCGCTGCTGCAGAAAGTTCTCCCGCGCCCAGATGGGCGAGAAGTCGCTGTCGACCCACTGGTTCCAGATGTTGAGCAGCGTCAGGTGGTCGCCGCCCTCCTTGACCGTGAACCGCGCCCGCGCGCTGTCGGCGTGGATCTTCTTGTCCTTGGGCCGGAAGAAGAGCGCCGACGCCTCCGACAGCATCGACACGATCGACAGCACCTCCTCCACGCAGCCTTCCTTGTCCGCCGCCAGCACGGCCTTGGCCAGCATCGGGTCCGTCGGGAACTCGGCCATCTGCCGCCCCATCTTGGTCAGCTCGCCCTTGTGGTTGAGCGCCTGGAGCGCGAAGAGTTGGTTGAGGGCGCCGATGAGGGCCTCGGTGGGCGGCGGGTCCATGAACTCGAAGTCGAGGAGCTCGTTGATGCCTAGGGACTTGAGCTGCAGCACGACGCCGTTGAGGTTCGTCCGCTGAATCTCCGGCATGGGCGACTCGTCCATCTCGTTCATATATGCGTACTTGGTATATAACCGGAAGCATTTGCCCGGGCCGACACGCCCGGCACGACCGCTCCTCTGGTTGGCCGAGGCTCTCGAGCACGGGGTTACCACCAGATTAGACATGCCCGTCGCCGGGTTGTACACGTTCTCCTTGACGAACCCGGGGTCGATGACATAGACGATCCCGTCGATGGTCAGACTGGTCTCGGCGATGTTGGTCGCCAGCACCACTTTACGCGCACCCTCTGGCGTGGGTTCGAATATCTTGGCTTGGAGGTCGGACGGTAGGTTGGCGTAGATGGGACATATGATGAGTTCCTTCACACGGTTCCCGAGCTTCTTGGCTGTCTCGGCGATCTGTAGCTCGGCTGCCTCGATCTCGTCTTGTCCTGTGAGGAAGACGAGAATATCGCCTTTACCCTGCGTCGTGTGGATCTGGAAAACCGTCGTGATAGCGGCGGCGAGATAATTCGCCTCGGGCGCCGGTGTGTAGTAAATATCGACCGGGTACCGTCGGCCGGGGATATTATAGATCGGGGCATCGTCAAAGTAGGCGGCGAATTTCTCTGCGTTCATGGTAGCGGACGAAATAAGCAGCTTCAGGTCGGGCCGTTCTCTCGCGAGATCCTTCACGAGAGCGAGCAGGATGTCTGTGTGGACCGTCCTCTCGTGGGCCTCGTCGATCATGACGGCGGAATAGCCGGCAAGGTCGGGCTCGGTCATGAACTCGCGCAGCAACATGCCGTCGGTCATGTACTTGAGCACGGTCTTGTCGCTCGTGTTATCCTCGAAGCGGATGGAATAGCCGACTTCCTGGCCGACCTTGACGCCGACCTCGTCGGCCACACGAGCAGCGACACTCATGGCGGCCACACGACGAGGCTGCGTACATCCGACCTTCATGCCGTTCTTGGTGTAGCCGGCCTCGTGGAGGTATTGGGGCAGCTGTGTGGTCTTCCCGGACCCGGTCTCGCCGACGATGACGAGGATCTGGTACTGCTCCATGGCCTTGAGGAAATCGTCGCGATATTGGTAGATGGGGAGACTCCGGCGGGTCTCCTGGATCGACAGCTGCTTCTTCTCGGCCTCCTCGATCTGCTGCGCTAGCATGGCCTGTTCCTTGGTCAGACCTTTACCTTCTCCCGGTAGGCGCGAGTCCAGATTCCACTTGATGTACTGCTCCTCGTCCAGGACATAGCCGTAGTCGTCGGTTTCCCGCTCAGCCCTGTTGATCTGCGACTTGGCTTTCGCCGTCTGTTCCCGTTCCCATTCCTCGTGCTCGGTGACGAATTTTTCCTGGCCGTACTCGTCCCTCTCAACGTATCGTTTGTAGAGCGCCTCTTCCTTCCTCCTCTTGTCGATCTTCCCCTTCTCCGTGATGTAGTCTTCGGGCATGTAGTAGCCGTCCCGGTGGTCGTCGATCATGAGGCGTTCTTCGGCCAAGCGCAGGAGCTCTCGGTTTTTCGCAAACTCTGCCTTCTCGCGCTCCGACAACCTGACGCCGCTTCTCAGCTCCTCGGTCTCCTCGGCCACCTGCTTCCGCAACAGCGCGAGCCTTTCGGCTTCGCGCTTCTGGAGATATTGCTGCCTGCTGCGGAGTCGCAAATCCGGTAATGCGGCATTGCGCTCGGCTGCGTTTTCGACATCGCGTCTTCCGTCGCGGGGCTTGGATTTGTTGTCGTCTTTTTCTCTTAACCTCTTCGCGAAGGCCTCGCGCTCTTCGATGTCTTTCTGGCGTTCGATCTCTGCCCTGGCTTCTTCCGACAATGGGGCATCGCCTGGCCCATCGTCGTCATCATCATCGCGGCTGAGCTTCACGCGCTTGGCTGCCGATTCTTTGAAGTCTGGCTCGTCGTCGTCGTCGTCTTCTCGGGCCACCACATCATCCTCCAAGTCCGATAAGGGTTCTTCATCTGCCCATCGATCTTCGGCATCGACGTTGCGTTTCCGATATTGTCTTGAGCGACCGGGTGGTGATCTCGACCGCGACCTGCTGCGACGCCTGGATGACCTTTCGCCACGGTCCTGGTTGCCCCTGCTGTCCCTTTCCCTCTCTCTATCTCCTCGATCTTTGTCCCTTTCCCGGTCGCGGCGTCGGTGCTTCTGGTTTCTCTCCTTAGTGACTTTGGCGGGTCCTATTTCATCATCCTCCATGGGGAGAAATGCATATTTTTTGTTTGACGCCATGGTGAGGGAATCGACTGCTTCGACCGACTCGGGCGGGTTGGTTGACCGCAGAGTTGATGCTTATTTTATACGGCTAGTGCATTTAGCGTCTCATCTCTGTACCTAGTCGTGGCAGATGATATCGGGGGTGATTTGGAGGGTTAGGTCGAGGGCAATGGAGAATAGAAACGGATGATATTAATGAGTTGGATACAGATAAGGTAGGAAATGAGAGTGACGGCTGGGATAAAAGCAGCATCAAAGAGAAGGTCCGCAGGTGGCTCGTGCTTCCCGTTCAACAGTGACCGAAGGTACCTTAGGTAAGGTACTGACGCTTGATACCAGCTGCTAGCGTCAGATGAAGTAGAGGAGTACACAGGTACCTTATAAGTGGAGTTGTGAAGACACCTGATACGGGTAGCGGGGTATTACCTAAGGTTACCTTAGATAAATGCCTTAGATAGGCTTAGCGTGGATAGGGTCCAACGGTGTTTGTTCACCGAGCATACCGAGGAGCATCCTTTAGGTAATTAATACCTAAGGTCTACCTTACCTCAATGAGGAGCTCTGTGTCAGCAGCTTTCACTCCCCGCTAGTATTCTACCGAAACCATACCGCTGCCCAAGATTCGGCGTTCCTTATCCCTGTCTCAATCATCCGTAACGCTCATGTAGCCTGTAGCCTATAGCCTGTAGCCTGCCTGACAATGTAAAAAAAGTGTTTCTCACAGGCAAAGTACCGAGAGTTCTCTGAGACGAGCAGTGAGCGATCACGACACTACTCTCTCCATAGATGTTGGCGGGCGGACAATCGCAGGGATCAGTCCAGAGTTCCGCTTGGGTGTTCAATTAGGGCTTGACGGCATTACTGCAAGTAACTCGGGCAGCCTATATCGGAGTTAGGCCATCACATGTTGCGATATTACTCGACATACGTCGCCTCACTGTCATTCATGTCCTCTATAACGTACTGTACAACGTACTGTGCTTTTATTGTATCGAACTTTGCGTTCTTCAATTTGCCACGAGGAGCTCCTAGGACAAGAAAAAAAGGGCATGAGTCAGTGCGGTCTCCGGCTTAGCCCTTGCAGATTGGTCTTAGGTGGGCGAACACGATGTGATAGACCGGGGCCTGGGTATATGTACTGTGTGAACCACTTAAACCCCTTTATTACGCTATTATTTGTTAACTGACTGCCTCGTGTCTTCCAAGAAAGACGCTGGGAAGAGGCGGTGAAGACACTATTCGACATGTCCAGAGGAGAAGGAAAGGTGCCCAAGTTGTTGGGGGAAGCAACTCGATATGGAATATGGATATACTTTGTCACAACCTCGCGTTCGTTTGAGCACAGGCTGGTGGAATACGGAGTAATTACCTAACTCCCCCCTTCTCCCCCCTTCTCCCCCCTCTTCACAGGCTACTCCGTTCAAACATACCTAAGGAACATGGTAAATCTTCCGACAAGACAAGGTAGGTGTTGAACAAGGGAATCGAGTCTAGAGCCGGATAAACGGGCATTTGCATCCGTGTGGTACGAAGTATAGACGACCACGGGACGTACGAAGTACGAATGCTCCGGAGTATATGTGCACTTTATACTTTATCCGATATCCCTCGACCTGGTATACAAACTAAGGGACCGACCTCGTACGAAGTAATGTTTAGGAGAAGTTAAGGTTCCTGGACGTCAGTCCACTAGAGGTTGGATGTCAGGCCACCGAGTCAACAGGAGGTCTGGATACGTCAAGGATCTAATATCTGCCGATTACTAATTCCTGAAGGAGGGGTAGTTAGACCCCGGATAGCTATAAAAGGAAGCGCCCTAGGGACCTCTTTCTACAGGCGGGTAACGAATAATCTAAGACCTTAAGACCTATTACTGATAGACGAACTAGTATTTACTTAGGACGTTTCGGATACTTACTCTTATTCCACCCTATACG